CATGTATGTAGAGGACCTAGGTCAATCCCATGTGGTTTCCTTGAACCCAGGTTAGTTGTCTCTGTGGGCTTCCTTGTGACGACCTCCCTTTCTATTGCTGGCCTTCTCTTGTTAGGCTTTTAGAGAGAATAGGGGTCAAGAGAAGGAGATGCTGAGTCAAGTTGTCTTTCGGGTAGAGGATACATTAACAACAAAAGAAACAATTTGACAGATGTCGAAAGTAAGAGGTTTCAGTCCCACCAGACAAAGCAAGTTGGTCATATAAGTCTTAGACTGCATAACAAGGGACATTCTTTGTTGTACGTAAGAATGGGGCTTATGTCAGTGTGTGGCACAGGCAATGTGACAGCAGTCAAGCTGTCTTTGACCTCAGGTGGCAAGGGATAGAGCAGGGACTGAGTGTGTTCCACACTGCTTGCAACCATCCCTGCTGCATCGGGGATCTGAGTTCGTGGATGCTGCTGAATCGTAAGCAAGTGGAGGGACTCTGAGAATTTCTAGTTCTTTATTCTCAGTCACTGTTCTTTAGATTCCCACCACTAAGCAGACGTCCCAATCATTTAGGAAACTTTCAGAGAGAAAAAAAAATCTCTGCCATTTAACTCTTCATCCATACATAAAAGACGTAAGTGAGAAGATAGAATAATAAAAAGTTGATAGAATAAAGAAATTCTCCATCAATAAGCTCCTCCTGCCAGAGGTTGCTAAGTAATTTACCATCAAGACATTTCTTTACTGTGCTGGTTGGAACCAAAGAAAGAGAATTGGGAGGGGAGCATTTGTTTTCTTTGGTTTTCACAAACATCGTGATGTGTCATTCAACCTATGTCTCCTAGTAATGCGACTTTCACCTGAGATTTGAAAAGCTTCACAAACATTTATTAGCAAAGACTTTGATGAGGTTAGCAAGCCTCAGGCCTCCTATTCTTATAATATTATTCTAAAACCATCCATGTGACTCACACAGCATTACCTTTTCCAGTACCTTTTTGTCAGAGGGAAACAATAGCTGATACCAGTGCACATCATAATTCGCCACGATGACACTGGCCAGGCAGACTACAAAATGGATCAGGAAAAGGCAGAGACAGGAAGAAAGCAGAAGCTGCTGTACAGTCTACTTCTTCTGTTTCTTACATAAGCCCTGATGGATACTTAACATTGACCTGACCGCTAGCAATCTTGATATGTTTTAAAAAATAAATATTTATTTACTTGTTAGGGAGTAGCAGGGGATCTACATGTGCCACAGTGTGATTGCAGAGGTCAGTTCTCGACTCCCACCATGTGGACCCTAAGGATAGAACTCAGTCGACCAGGCTGGGCAGCAAGCACCTTGTGCTCCATGCCATTCCTGCAGGTCTCAAGCTTGGAATTTTTATCTATCACTTTTACTTTCCAGGAAATCTTACCCATGTGTGTGGCTATACAGACTTACTCCTTCCAAATTCATGTCTTCAAACACAGACCCTATCACCTCCATAGCACACTTGACTGTCTGAGAATTAACTGAGCCCACCAGCCTCCGGCTTCATCTTCCAAACAGTTACATTTACAGGTTTCCAGCAACTTGGGTCCTAACAACGGATGCCATCGTTCTTCTCATCTCTGCTCACTCCCCCCAACACACACCTGTAATCTATAATCCATCAACAAATTCTGGAACCTCTCTCTTTTAAATATTTCCAGAACCCCACCATTTCTCACCCTTCTAGCAGCAACCACCTTAGGTTAGGCCATCTCCATCCACATTATTAGCAACAGATATCCATGCTTGCCTCTCCAGTGCGGTCTCCCATCCAAGTACTAACCAGACCTGACCCTGTTTAGCTTCTGAGACTGATATGGCAATTAACCTTCTGGTTCACCAACCTATCTATGTCCAAGGTCCTGTAATTTCCTTCTCATTTATCAACTCTTTCCTCCTTACTCTTTCTACGCTTACGTCAAGATTTTTAGGTAGTCTGCTCTCTGGGGAGCATTCTTTATGCCCTACCATCATACATTGTCACAAATAACATTTCTTTAAAGTGACTTTCTCGGATGATCTGTGTGCCTTTAGTCCTGGTAATCAATTATCTTGCTTTTTCATGGAATATTTTTCTTTATAAACAAATGGGCTTATTACACATGCCTTGCTATATTTATCTATGAAGAAAGTAGGTGTGTGTATCCACATACACACATGTATGCATGCATACATACACTTGTTAAGGCAGGGCCTGGCAAACTATAGCCTAGATCCAATCTAACCCTGGCCTGTATTTTCATGGAAACAAAATAGGAATGGCATACACACACACACACACACACACACACACACACACACACACTTATAAAATTAAAGGGTTATACAGTAAAAAATAAGTGGAAATGAATGAGTGAATGAATGAATGTATAAGCCATATGTAGACTATAAACCTAAAACATTTTCCATCAGGTCTTTCATGGAACAACCTTGTCAGCCTGTGTATTAATGTGTTGTTCCCTGACAGAATGTCAACTTCTCCTTTTTTCACTATCATATCAATACCATATAGAGTACTTCCTGGAACAATTAAGGCACTAAATAAACATTTTTATGTAGATGCATAAATGAATGATGACAACAATTAGTCTCAGTGATCACTCTCGGGTCAAACAGGAAGTTGGCAGATGAAGCAAAATTCCAGCCTAAATTTCTTCCATTCTACAGCTGGGTCCTAAAATTCAAGAGCTGTAGTCATTTGAACCTCCTTCATTTCTACCCAGGTTCCCCTATATACACCATGTCTAACACATATATTAGGAAGAGAACTCTTAGGGGGGGTGGTAAAACGAGACAAAGGTGGAATGTGTTGTGGAAAGCCTTGAGAATTCGCTCATGGATAAGCTTATGCCTGCCACCTGCCTTGTTCAACTGGCTTTCATTTTCATCCTCTCTTCTACCTTCACCTAGCCTTTGAACAAAACAAGGCAAGCAAGGCTACTCTCATTATGCATGCTGAAAAACTGAGTTTTGAGGAGGTTTAAGAAGTTGACTATAATACACAGCAAAAACTATAGGATCCAAATCTATCACTTTTAGTGGTTTTCCACTCTACCAAACTGGACCAACAGACATTTCATTATTCAGCACACTGAATAATTCTGCCAGTGGGAAAATGCTACCAGAGATCTGGAGGAAGTTTTTAAATTTCAGGAATCTCCTAGAAACTCCTAATAAACCAGGAGTACTATAATTCACTTGAAGTTCTGTGGTGTGCAGGAAAACCTCCTCAGCTATAAATGGCCTACAGATGGCCAGAGGCAGCATCAATATCAGAGCCTAGAGTTAAAGCAGTGAATAGAATGGCCAAGACAATCACATCCTGGGATTTTTATTGGTGTGACAATAGCCTAAGATTTTAGAGCAGCCAGGCCCATGACTGTCTTTAAGAAGGAAGCCAAGAGAACTGACAATTATGTCAGCTGGCATGAATGTCCACAGCTGTCATCTCTTGGACCAGCTGCTACATCAAATCAGCCATCCTCTGAGGCAGCTGACTTTCGTGTTCAGAGTGTCTAAGACTACATGTGTTTCATGGCTTAAGGGCCAGCCTTAGTAACTGCAACTGCCGGGGCCCAGGGCATCATGCAGGGAAGAGGTCATGATGACACATCCTGGAGTTCATCTGAATGCTGGTTATGAATTCAGTGTATGCGTAACAGTCCATTTTCAAATGTGTCTCTTTGACTAATTCCCTTATGCATTATCAGGATATACATATCTATTCCCGACCCACCCTCCTCAACTCCTCCCAATCTACTATCACACCACAGAAAATGAAGTCTCTGTAATGGATTTTATCCATTTCTCCATCTCTTCACCCTACTCCAAAAATAGCACAATGCTCAAGGAACTTAGAACAGTGTCATTTTGATGTTAGAATATGCTAGGGCTGGATATGGTGGCACACGCCCTTTATCCTAGCACTCAAGAGGCTGAGGCAGTCCGATCTCTATAAGTCCTAGGCCAGCCTGGTCTACACAGTGAGTTCCAGTACAGTAACATAGTGACAGCTAACAGTGAGACCCTGTCTTTTAAAAACAGGAATTTACTATTTAAATATCTATGATTATTAAGACAAATTTAATAATAGTAATTTTTCTAAATATATGCAGATGAGTAAAAACCTTAAATCACTATATAACTACAAATGTGCTATTTCTTTGGGTTGATCTCTCTCTATCCCTCCCTCCTTCCCTCCTTCCTACCCTCCATCCCTCGTTTTACAACAGCATTGTTTGTAGCTTAGGCTAGCCTCAAACCCTCAGTTTTCCTGCCTCAGCCCCTAAGTGCTAGAGTCACCTCTGGGCTGCCACATTCCACTTAAAAGGTCTCTTTACAAAATAAACTATTCTGGTTTATATGGAAGCAACATTCACTAATGTGCTAATTAGTTTTATTATCACAGTGACAAGGGAGCAACTTGAAACAGGGAGGATTTATGGGGGCCAATGGTTTGAGGAGATAAAGTCCATCAAGGCAGAGACGGCATGGCAGCAAGAACAACATGTAGCAGCTGATCACATTGAAAACACAGAGAGGGGAATGTTGGTGTCCCATTAGCTTTCCTTTTTCCGTCTGTATGCAGTTCTCAGTGTGGGCCCTGCAGTCTGGGTCCTCAGTCTTTGGTATGGTGGTTCTCCTCTTCTCAGTTAAATCTCCCTGGGAAAAAACCTTCACAGACATGCCCAAAGATGTGTTACATTAATGCCCTGGGAATCTTCAATCAAATTGACAATCAAAACTAACCTTTATATGTGAGAAGTCCTTATGCTAAAAATAATAATAAAACAAAAGTAAGCAAGCTTGGATTGAAATTGTTCAATGATCTGGAAGCTTCGTTGTATTAGATGTGATCTCAGTGTGAAGCTGTGATGCTCTGTGGAATGCTGCATGCTTGGAAAATGTCTGGCTCCCAAATCTGCATACATATCACATTAAGCATTAAGAAATGTATTCTTTTTATTGCCAGGCTCGAGAAAGAGATCCAAGATCTTGAAAAGGCTGAACTGCAAATCTCAGCCAACGAAGAGGCAATTCTAAAGAAGCTAAAATCGATCGAGAGGACCACAGAGGACATAATAAGAGTGAGTGGAATTCAGTTTTAAACTATGAATCCCTCTCAAAAGAATCCACAAATGCTATTTCTTCAAAGCATTGCTATGTTTATATTTTTATTTTTTTAAACTAAGTTCATCATGGAAATCTTTTATCTTACAGTCTGTGAAGGTGGAAAAAGAAGAAATCCCAGAAGGTATGTTTTGAAGCAACCTGTTCCATGTCAAAGCAAGATCATTTTCATAAGACCACTGGCCTTGTTTCACTATTAGAAATATCTTACATGTATTTTGAATTAATATCAACTTTACAGAATCAATTGAGGACATCTATGCTAATATCCCTGACCTTCCAAGTTCCTACATACCTTCCAGATTAAGAAAGGAAAGAAATGAAGGACAAGATGATGATGAACAAAATAGAAAAGGTATTTGAGAACCTACATTCAATAGCATGTTCTCAATTTCAGATTTCTTCTATGACTAGTGCATGTATGTAGTGTGTGTGTGTGTGTGTGTGTGTGTGTGTGTGTGTGTGTGTGTGGATGTGTATGTACAACGGCATTCACATAGAGGTCAGAGGACAATTTTCAGGAGTCAGTTCTCTCTTCCTCCCTTGACTGAGGCAGGATTTCTCTTGTATCTGCCAATGTGCAGCCTACTGCAGGCTAGCTGATTGCATGAGTTTCCGGCCAGTTCTCCTGTCTCTGTATCCCGCCTCACATCTGCCTTTTTTTTCAATGTTGGTTACAAGCATTGAACTAAAGTCACCAGGTAGCAAATTTTTGCCCACTGAGCCATATCCCAGTGACCCCTCAATTTCATATTTTATATTAAGTCTTCACAACTTGCTTGTGTTTCTAGTTTAGGCAAAGGTCCATTTTACAAATTTCCCAGGACTACAGGGCAGTTCCCAGGGTTGTTCCCAAGGCAGTTCCCACAGTTGGCAAAAGGAAGGTGACTATTTATTCCGTGCATTTTCCTTCCTACCAAAACAAGCAGTAACAAGGAAGATAAGGCCTGAAACAGGCAAGAGACACTCTAAAACTTTTCTGCTCAAAAATTTCATCTAGTAGATATTGAGTTATAAAATATTTTTAAATGAAAATGTCCCCTTCGAAAGGTCAGGCATTATTTATCTTCATGGGATAATGATTTTCATAAATTTATTACTTTAAAGCCTCTGGGAAATGAAGCTATGGCCAAAGAGGAAAACTTTGAATTTTAGAATTGAAGGAGAAGCTATTCTCCATCTGCAGGTAGCAATCACTTACTGAGGTAACAGATATTTAATGAATAACTACTATACACCAAGCTCACTTAGGCACATGGTAGGTATTCACTAAATTAAGCATTTGGGGAGTACAATGCAGAAGACAGAAGTAGAGGTGAGAGACAGGGAGAAGATGGGTAGAGATCTTTCAGGTTTAATTGGGTACCCAGGGAAAGCCACGGCACATCAGTCAACAGAGGACACAAGAAATATAAGATGAGCTGAAGGAAAATATACCAAAAGCAAACACTGACACATTCTAATTCTAAGAAGAATGCTTGCCCTTCACCTGTTAAAATTCCCTCCATGGGGCTCTTGCCTGGGTTGTGAGACAGACTTCAGCTCCCTCACATTCACCACTCACCTCCAGTTCAGTTGTCTTGGTACAGTTGCTATTGCTCTATTTTAAGCCCTTCATCTGCTTGAAAGTGGTGTTAAACCGGGAGGATAAAAGAGAGGTGGCTAGAGAGAAAACTCAGTGATTAAGAGCACCTGCTGCTCTTGCAGATAACCCAGGTTCAATTCCCAGCAGCCACATGGCAGCTCACAAATGTCTATAACTCCAGTTCCAGGTGGTCTGGTGCCCCTTTCTGGTATCCTCTGGCACCAATCACACACATGGTGCACAGACGTTCATGCAGGCAAAACACCCATACCCATAAAATAAAGCATTTTTCATTTTTGAAAAAGAGATAGAAATGGGACTCTAGGCTTCCAACTTCTTTGGGTGCAGTGATGCATCTAAGCACTCTCCATACTGTGAAGACCTCAGAGCACTTTACAGTTTCAGTAGGCAGCTGAGCTTGCAACAGGGATGTAACAACAGAATTACACTGCTACAGCACATAGTGTGACTGTTCTTCCAAAGAAAATAAAGCAGAGATTTTTTTAATGTTTTTTTTAATTTTTAGAAGCACTCTTATTTACATACCCATGCCCCCATTCCTTGCCCTCCCATCTTCCCATATTCCCCACCAAGCCCCCCAACCCATCCCCCACCCCCTCCCCAGGGATAGTGAGGCCCTCCAGAGGGACCATCAAAGTCAGTCATTTGGGGGAGAGTAAAAAAAATTATGTAAGTCTGACTGGTTAATTCTATTAGCTGAAGACAGATATCCTTTGGTTCTCTGTGAAAATACCAGCTATGTGGATCTGTTTCTCTTTCTCATGCCTCCAAATTATTTTTCCAAAATTCTACACTTCCTAAGACATCATTTGCTACATGGCTGGTTGTTATAGAACTAATTGGTAAAACCAGGATAAATTTTACAGATGTATTTTTATGAGTATATGTGTGTACCTGCACCATGTTCATGCAGGTGCCCTCAGGGGCCAGGGGGCATCAGATCCTCTGTAGATGGACTTACAGGAGGTTGTGAGCCTTCTAAAATGGGTGCTAGTAATGTAACTCTGACCTTCTTGTAAAGACATCTCTCTCCAGCACCCAAATCAGAAGGGTTTGGGGTTTTGTTGTTGTTGTTTTGCTTTGCCTTGTTTTATTTGAATGAAAATCTTAACATTGAATGAAAATGTTTGTCTCTGTGTAGCCCTGGTTGTCCTTGAACTTACTTTATAGACCAGGCTGGCCTCTAACTCACAGAGATGCCCCTGCTTCTGCTTCCAAGTGCTGGGATTAAAAGCGTGTGCTGCTGCTGCTGCTGGGTTAGTTTTTAAATGTTACATAATAGACCATCAAAGGGTGTAAAAGCAAACAAGCTAGTTAATAAGAGAAAGGGAGTATTAAATATTTATTAAATTTGTCTTTTAACAGCTTTGTACGCCATGGAAATTAAAGTTGAAAAAGATTTGAAGACTGGAGAAAGTGTTGTTCTGTCTTCAATACCCCTCCCATCAGATAACTTTAAAAGTACAGGAGTAAAGGTGTACGACGATGGGCGGAAGTCAGTCTATGCAGTCAGCTCCAATCAGAACACAACCTACAATGGCACTGATGGCCTCGCACCTGTGGAAGTAGAGGATCTCCTAAGACAAGCCTCAGAGAGGAACTCTCAGTCACCCACAGAGTACCATGAGCCCGTGTATGCCAATCCGTTTTGCAGGCCTACAACCCCACAGAGAGAGAGAGTAAGCCCTGGACCAAACTTTCAAGAAAGGATAATGATGAAAGCTAACGGACTGAGCAACCATGCAAATGAATCCATGCACAATATGAGCGATGGGCTTTCAGAGGGGAGAAGCAATGGTCCATCTCACACCATCCCTACGCGGCCAACACCTCAGCTCCGATCAACGATTCAGCAAGCCGAAGAGATAGTCCACGCCCAGCAAAAGATGGTCACTCCTTGGGAAGACTCGAACATCAGGCAAAACGATCATGAGGCTTCTCCAAGGACGGGACTGAGCCCCCGCCCAGCAAGCCCTGGGAAGTCAGAACCCCAGTGTTCCTCACCCGCTTGCCAGGAGGAAGCTGAAGATGTAAGATACAACATCGTTCATTCTCTGCCTTCTGATGTGGATGGCACAGAACCTGTAACGATGATTTTCATGGGCTATCAGCAAGCAGATGATAATGAAGAAGAAAAGAAGCTTTTGACAGGGTACGACGGGGTCATCCATGCTGAGCTGGTGGTGATTGACGACGAGGGGGAGGAGGATGAAGGACAAGCTGAGAAGCCATCCTACCATCCCGTAGCTCCCTGTAGTCAGGTTTACCAGCCAACCAAACCAACCCCACTTCCTAGAAAGAGATCGGAAGTTAGTCCTCATGAAAACGCAAACCATAAATCTCCCCACAAAAACTCCATATCTCTGAAAGAGCAAGAGGAACGCTTAGGCAGCCCTGCCCGCCACTCTCCCCTGAGTGTCCCAATGGCTGGAGATGGGACTGAGGATCCGTCCTTAACAGGTAATAAAAATGACAAGGCATGTCATTGCTGTTTACTCATGTGATGGTCTGTGTCAATGAACGTTCGTTCTTTCAGTTTCTATGTCCGTCTCATGAACTAATACACACTGACAGCTTTTATTAACGCTGATCCAAATTATTAGTATCAGAGCAAAGTAAGTCACTTCAAAAGATAAAAGTGAAACCTCTGTCTTGCTTTGTTTTAATGTTGCATTGACTGCCTTTAGTTACTGGAAATAGGTCTTCTATGAGGGAGTAATACCATAAGCGAATAACTGGGGTTGCTAATTAATGTCCTGATCATCAGAAGCAGACTTTTCCCAGCAGAATCCAATGACAACTACTTGCCTGTGCCTCCCTGTGACTTACACTTTACTCATAAGTTAACAAGTAGCCTTAATTTACAAGGAAATAGAAAACACAATTTCCTTCTCATTTTATTACTCTGCTATATCTCCTTTCTCTATATTTGTATAGTTTTATTAACTTTGGTTCTTTAATTTTCTACACTTTAAAAATAGAATGTAATTTTATCTTGCATCATCTATGACTCAACTTTTCATAGTCTTCTCTAATTTAGCATATCTATTTCTATTTTCTATATAGCTACATTCTTCATTCTCTATGAAGTTTTTATGGCTTTGTATCTCTTTAGCTATCTTAACATTGAATGAAAAGTAACTTTAACACTTTTTCTACAAACCAACAGTTCTTCAATTTTAAATTCCTTGTTATCATTCAAATATCACAAATGATTATCATTTATGGCAAAATAAATAAGGATCTGACAAGAACAATTAGAACAACTGAGCAAACCCTAGCTAAAAATCTAAGTCAAATTATACAAATGCACAGGTTCTGAATGTTAGAAATGGAAAGTAATTTTAAATGTTGCTAATTGAAGAATGGTCACTAAAAAGCAATAACTAAATAAATCGTTTAGCTTTAAAAAAAAAAAAAAGAAGAAGCAGACAGCCCAGAGAGTATAACCTGATATTTTTATAGACGTATGGCAGAACCTATAAAATCAAGATGTTTCTTCCTCATTGAACCATGAGCCCAATCTTGTGTTGCTAATAACACCATAATAAGGACATCCTTCCATTCTTCAAAGTCCTTGAATTACCTGAAACCATTGTAAATTCAATCATCTGAAGAGTTTCTACCCTCTTGAGAAATGGTCACTCATGTATCTTCCTCAGACTCTGGAGTAATGCTCCCCCACAATGGAAAGCTGCAGATACTAAGCTCATTTCCATTTGGAGAGGGAGCTTTGTTTTCGGTCAAATGTTTCCTTTGAAATTCATTCTTAAAACAATGCACAAAGCATGGAGAAAAGGAACGTCCTATATATGGTCAGTTGCATGAACGTGGACCACTGTAAAAATACAAAAGCAAAAACTCCCTTTTTGGTCTTGGATATTAGCCAGCTCCTCCCAAACACCTTTACTCTTTCTCTCCTAACCATGTTAACATTTACCCCAAGAAAAATGGCAGGAAGTGACTAACATTTCCAGACAACACTAACCATGCTACTGAACTAAAATTATGAAAACAGGAAAACTTATTCTAGACAAAGAAACAATACAAAGTCTTGTACTATCAAACTAAATATCTTGTAAAGAGAATGTTCCAAATTCCTTACGTTTCATTGTGTTGTTGTTTTACATCTCTGTCTTCCAATTCATCACATGGATTAGAGTGCAGGTGTTTAGTATGGATGAGTTTTAAAAAATAAGTCAATCATATTATTCTTTCAGGGACCATCTATGTGCATTAAGAACATAGCTACCTATGTACTTGAATTTCACAAGTACATTTTATATTGTGCTTTCAACAATGCATACATGTATACATACAGAGAGAAAGGGGGGATGCCACAATAACTAAAAACCCACAGTTTAAGTCAATTTCTTTATTAAAGTACAAATACCCTATTAAATACTAATAGTCCTGGTATACATAATAATCAAGAATTGTAAATCTCCTTTCACTCGTTATACATAAAGCTATCAAAGTCTTATCTCAAAAGCAATTCCTAGGTTTGGAGAAGATAGCTCAATGGTTAAGAGCACCTGGTCTATAAAATAAGGACATGAGTTTGATTCCATCCACCAATATAAAAAGCCAGTAATGGGTGTGCATGCCTGTAACCCCACCATTGCCAGAGCAGAGACAGGCAGATCCAGGACCTTGCTGGCCACCCAGCCTACCCAAAACTGTGAGCAACAAGGCATGAAGTAATGGAGGAGGACACCTGATGTCCTGCTTTGGTCTGCTGTGCATATCAGGGCATATATCACACAAGCACACACACACAAGCAGTTTTTAACTTGAGAAACTACGTGTAGAAGGAAGAAAGATGAAAACTAGTCCAGTGTGGATAGACTAAAGACAGTATATTTTAGTAAAATTTGAACACTATAAAACATGACATAAAAAGTTGGGTAATCTTATGTCTGTCTACTTGATCTAATCCAGACACACACACTATTGTGTGGCTTCCACAAGCTTTCCATAAGATCCCACTACCCCCACCAACAGCAACTAGACAGCTAGCTTTCTTTGGTAGACCCCACATGCCTATTCTTGTTCTAGCTCTGTTCTGTGCCCTTAGAGATATCAGTGGTACTCTGGGATGAAGAGGTAGAAAACCCTTAGCTCTGGAGCACTCATACACCATTGATCACCACTGACTCAGAAACTGCCAGTAGGGGTTAAGGAAGACTGGGGGTGAAACACCAATCTCTCTCCCACCAAGTTTAAGCAGCTAAAACTATCTGTCTGAGCTGTTGTAGGGAAACAGGACTGGGATCAGAGAAAAGCAGAAAAGAGCAGTCAAGAGAACCTATAGCACAGTGTTTGGGGGCTGCCCTTTGCATTGCCTGGGCATGATCTATCTCCACACCTGCAGCTAGAATTGGAGCTATTGCCACAGGCTTGGAAAAAGGAATGCTGATGCTAGCTGACTACACTGCATGTCCTGGGACACAGAGTGGGCTCTATTTACAGACTCTCAAGATGAGACATAGCTCTAGGGAACAGGATTTTGCCCCTGCCTTAAAGCAGACCTTTAAACAATCCCTTATCCCTGCTCTCTCCTGGCACTGGTAATGCAAGGGGCCACAAAACCTAAGAGCAGCCCTTCATGAAGCTTTGCCTCCTGCCTGTTCTGCTGTGGGACTGCAGGCCACTCCTCAGAGGTCTCCACCCAGCAGCTCCCAGCAACAGAGCCCATCCTGCTGACTGAGCAAAGGAAATTCTCTCAGCACATCCTGAAGTCAAAGGAGTATTCTTGGTCTTGCTGTTAGAAGTGATCATTCCTCTTCACTGTCAAGGGAAAACAACGCTTTTTACCTTCCTTAAGATGAAACTATCTCGCAGAGGTAGCATGGCAAAGAAAAGCACCTCATGATGGTAGCAGGTCCCCATCCCTTCTTACATTTTTATAAAAGACCTTTTGGAGATAGAATCATTTCTTTGTAGTTAGTTAGTAGGTAATAATGTGTGGCATAGAGATGGGGGGGAAATGTGTTCCCTTTTATTGTTTCATTTAAAAAATGTGCAATTAGTTAAATGGCTGTTTCTTGGGCCATTTTACACATGAATGTAATATTACATAACTAATATAATCATTTGCTCAGTGCCTTGAAAGCATCTTTCAACTTTTGGAACATGACTGAGGCAGCTATACTCAAGGGCCCTAAATATTAAGGCATGATAGCAGAACACCAAAGGAGTATTATAAATCCCACACCTACGTTTTCTAAAAATGTTTTCTACAGCCAACACTTCATTAGCAGAACTCAAAGATACACTTGCCATTCGAAAGCATAATTACACATTAATGCTTATTAGTTCACATCATTTCATACATAAATTTATTCTTGTCATTGCATATCCAAAGTTCAGAGAGCCAAGCTTAATTAGATTTTTTAAAAAAGGATCTAATCACTAAATATAGTTTAAATATTAGTATCTTTTTTGTTCAGTGGTACATAGTTAAGGATATGCACAAAATTGACATGAAGGAATACATATCTAGGCTGATAGCAAAAATACATGGCATCCACCTGTACTGTGTTTGCTCTGCTCTTTTTATTTTCTCACCTTTGTAGACATAGGTTCCCCCTAGTTCTCAACCTGTGCCTGCCCTAAGCTAACCACAGCTCATTATCTCTACTGTCTCTTTATGCTACTAAAACAATGCTCACCCTGTTGGATAAAACCATCTGAGGTACGTTCTCAACTTTCCTGCCTTCTATGAAATGGTCATTTAGAGTAAAAATTATGATTATTTTATAACTTGCTTTTTTTTTCACTTTAACTTACAGCTTTAAGGATAAGGATGGCAAAGCTGGGGAAAAAGGTAATCTGAGAGCCGTAGTGCCCACCTGAAGAACCTTCGGAGAAGCCAAGAAATGCCTGAAAATTTCTCTCCTGAATATTTTTATTTCTTTTTCCTAAAGTCCAAAAACATATATAGTTATACCCATAGTAAGCCACATAAATAAATAGTAATCATTATTTGTAGGGGAAAAATCCCCCCAAAAAGCTGGGGAAAACAAATGCTAACTTTTCCAGTTACTTGACATGACTCAGCAGGTCAGGGGAACCAGTATATTTTTATTGTATTGATACCAAAGCATTTCTAATAAGAGCTTGTTAAATTTAAGAATAAAGTTATTTAAAATACCTTGACTATCTTAACTGGAGTTGTAATGTTGCTAACAAAAAGATCATACACAGGTGCACCTCATCCTAGAGGTATCAGCCTTCCAGGCTGACAGGAATTCTCTAAAAATCAGTAACTCTTTAAAGCAACTGATTCTCATGCAAACATCAATTCAACTGGCTCAGTTGAGACTCCAGACCATTGCGCACATCCAAAAAGCATATATGACAATTATACTTAGGTTTTGAGAATGTGCTTAGATCATTTCGCTAATGTGCATGACCTTCCAGGAGAGAACTAGCACATTCGATCTTCAAGTACCATCATCTCTTTAACTTTGCTCAAAGTGCAGTAAATGATTATAGCTCAAGGGCACTAGTAAAAGACTTTCCATATTCTTAAAGGGCACAAATCTGATCTAGGTGAACAAGTTAGAATCTTTGCATTAAAACTAGAAATGGGGATGGCTCGAAAAAAGTGTTCGACTTGTAAGCCCATGTTCAGTCCCCAGAGTCCATGTGAGAGTGTTGAGCATGGTGGCATGTGCTCATAATCCCAGCATTGGAGAGGCACAGACAGAAGAATCTCTGGAGCACATTGGTCAGCCAGTCTGGCTTAATTGGTGAGTTCCAGTTCAATGAAAGACCTTTCGCAAAGGAAGTAGATAGCGTTCCTGAGGACAGCACCCTAGATGGCACTCCAGCCTCCACATATATGCATGCTACAAATACACACACACACACACACACACACACACACACACACACACAAGAAAAAAACCAATGAGCATGTATCACATGTGATTCCCGGGTATTCTTCCAAGGTGTTTAATCCTGATTTGAAAGAGAATATTTCTGTGCCAGTGATTATTCTGTCCTCCATCTAACACCCTCAAGATTGTTCCCACATGAGACTAGAGGCAGCTCAACAGTCAAGAGCACTGGCTCTTCTTCCAGAGGACCCAGCTTCAATTCCCCATTTCCTCATGATGGTCTGTAACTCCAGTTAACAGTGATCTGTAACTCCAGTCCCAGGCCACTGTAGGCACTCTGTGTGTGTGTGTGTGTGTGTGTGTGTGTGTGTGTGTGTGTGTGTGAAGCTCTGATTAATGCAGGCAGAACACTCATACACATAAAAATAAATACATGTAAGAATAAGAATAAGGACTGCTAGCCAGGTACTGGTGGTGCACGCCTTTAATTCCAGCACTCAGGAGGCAGAGGCAGGCGGATCTCTATGAATTCGAGACCAGCCTGATCTACAAAAGCTAGTTCCAGGACAGCCTCCAAAGCCACAGAGAAACCCTGTCTCGAAAAACAAACATAAACAAAAACAAAATAAAAAAGAATAAGGACTGCCTCCACATATCTTTTCCTACGCCATCATACACATACGCATTACCCAGGTCCTCCAAGTTGAGTGACTAGTCTGTTTCCTTCTAGGATAGACACCGACTTTCCCTTAGGATGTTAGGGTGTTTTATAATAAGGCTTTTCTTAATTATTGGTCTAGAACAGTGGTTCTCAACCTGTGGGTCATGACCATTGGAAAACACATTTTTCTGATGGTCTTAGGAAGCCCCAATAAATTTGTTTCACTGTTACTTCATAACTGTGATTTTGCTACTGAACCGTGTCTCTGTTCCTAAGACCATCAGAAATGTGTGTTTTCTGATGATGGCTACCCACAGGAACAAAATAAAAAAGAATAAGAACTGCCTCCACATATCTTTTCCTACGCCATCATACACATACACATTACCCAGGTCCTCCAAGTTGAGTGACTAGTCTGTTTCCTTCTAGGATAGACACCGACTTTCCCTTAGGATGTTAGGATGTTTTATAATAAGGCTTTTCTTAATTATTGGTCTAGAACAGTGGTTCTCAACCTGTGGGTCATAACCATTGGAAAACACATTTTTCTGATGGTCTTAGGAAGCCCCAACCATAAATTTGTTTCACTGTTGCTTCATAACTGTGATTTTGCTACTGAACCATGTCTCTTTTCCTAAGACCATCAGAAATGTGTGTTTTCTGATGATGGCTACCCACAG